TGTTTAACAACGGGCTCCCCAAACTCCTGCAAATCCAGCCCGCAGGTCCTGGCGGCCGGGGCGAGGTGGCCCCCGCACTCCTCGAGTCCGCTCCTGGCCCCGTTTCCACGGGCATTGGGGAGCGTTTAACTCTCCAACCTGAGAAGCGAAGGCATAACTCGAGTCGCAGTTCTCTCGGAAGGAGACGTGATTGAAAGTCCATTAAAAATGTATTAAGCAAACAGCGGGGGCGAGAGCTGTGCAGCCAAGAGGAACGCGGGGAGCCGGAGTCCGGGAAGTGCGCGGGGCTGTGCGGAAATGACTCGATTCCCGATTCCCGCCTGTCTCAGGGGCACAGTGAGATGAATGGGCAGCGCACAGGAGAGGAGGCACGGGAGTTACCAGATGGAAGGGAAGGGGTGCAACAGTCAGAGAAGCGCGATCACAGGGCGGTGCTGGTGGCAGGCTGCAAAGTGAGCCCTGCCCCCCCCGCCCCCCCCCTCGCCCCCAAGCCGCTGCTGTGCACAGCCCTGTGGTGCTGCCGTACAGAGCCATAAAGCTGTCCGCCCCTTGACTCAGTAATCCCCCACCTGGGATCTATCCAGGCAACCACTCGCCCAGGACACCCAGCCACAGTACAGGTGCTGGTGGCCGCCTTAGTGTGTCCCTGCAGATCGTGTGTCACCGTAACAAACCAGCAGCTGTATAGATACTTCCCTGGGGTGGGGGGTTGTGTCGTGGGGGGAGCTAGCCTAAAGCTGACAGGCGCCAGGCACGGGCACATGAGGACACGGTCACTCCACACGCCGTCACTGAGCGCCTACTCCCCGTGCGGGGGGCGGAGGGGGGGGGAGTACAAGACAGACCCACCCCTCTCTCTGGTGCCTCGCAGAGAAGACAGCAGACCGCAGAGCGAATGCAACTGCAGGCGGTGAGCACGTGAGGAAACCAGGGAATGGGGGAGTGGGGGGGAGGGGGGGGGAGTGGGCGGGGTGGGCGTGGGGCTGTTGCTACTTTACAGCCTCGGCGGGAAGGCCCCTCTGATCCGCTGACACCCGGGCCGGCACCGCGGGGGCTGGAAGGAGGGAGCCGGAGCTGCTCTCCGCCTAGACTGCCCGTTTCCAGAAAACTCCTACTCACCCATGGAAACCCTTTTCAGGCGCCGACTGTTCCCTGGCCAGACGGTACTCGGCCCAGAGGGCCCGCCACCCCCGAGGGATGCCGGGGAGATGAGGGACGTCTGCGGAGCCGTTCCCACCTGCGGAGCCGTTCCCACCTGCCAGGTCTTCCCGCGTCTCCTCTCCTCTAACCAGACAGCACCTCCCGCCTCCTGCCCCGGGGGAGGGGTCGGCTCAGCCGCCTGCTGGAGGTCCTCTGGCTGCCAGACCCAGGGGAGCAGCTTGAACCCTGGCTGCTCAGCCTCTGAGAGCCTTTGCACCTGCCCCTCTGCTCCTGCCTGTGAGCAAATAGAGCTACGGGGCAGGCGGGGTGGTCCCAGGGCAGGTGCTCGGCTTCGGGGAAGACGAGGGGGGCACTGGGCGGCCCTGGCCTGGGCAGGGATGGAGGGTTTCAAGGCCGATAGCTGGAAACCCCCCTGTCCAGGACCCAGCGATGCTCTGAGAGGTGGAAGGGGGGACCAGGGCAGGTGGGGGGCAGAGGCCTCCAGGGGGCCGAGCCAGGACACTGGATCACTGAGGGACACCCGTCCATCATCTCCCCGGGACAGCAGCCAGCCAGGAGAGCAGTGGTCACAGGAGCGTCCTGGTCGTGCGGAAGCTCTCCAGGATGTGATGTTGAATTAAAAGCCCAGACACACGATTTATGTGTGGATGGAACAGCTGCAAGTGAAGGAAGGAGCCAGCGGCACGAAGCTGGAGGGCGGGAGCTGCGCTCGGCTGAGGCCGCCTGTGCCTGCTCTCCTGGTCCTCGGTGAGCCGGGCACTTTGTGGTGAACAATTGGGCATAAGAAGAAGGAATGGTGACTGTTCCTTGGTGGACGGCTGCGGGGAGGAGGCAGCTAAGACGAGGAGAGAGTAATTAAGATGAGTGATCAGGACCTCTGAGCTGGGGCGCCAGGCGCGGGCCTCTCCCGGCCTCTCTGGGCGCATCTTCTGGCCCCTCCCACCGAACCCTGAACCTCGGGGCGGGGAGGGGCTGAGATGCTGCAGGGCCTGCCCGGGTCAAAGGACTCTGGCGGGATTCGGACTCCGGATCCTCGGGGCTCCCTCTGCCAGGGTCTCCTTCATTCCGGTACAAGTGGGCACATCTACCGGCACAGACCTGGGTCACCCCGGAAGCCACCGGGCCCTGCCTGTTTTTGGTTAATCCTCCCCCGAGGATATTTTTCCCCGTTGATTTTTAGAGCGAGTGGAAGGGAGGGTGAGAGAGAGAGTGAGACAGAGAGAGACATCGATGTGACAGGGACATACCGATTGGTTTTCCTCCTGCATGTGCCCTGACCGGGCAGGGGATGGAGCCTGCGATGAGGACCGCGCCCTGGACCAGAATGGAACCTGCAAACCCTTCATTCCAGGCCGACCTCGAACACGGAGAACACTGGCCGGGCACCTGGTCCTTTCCTTTGGATCTGGGGACGGGCGTGTCCTGGACACCCAGCCCCGAAGGAAAGGGGGTCTCTGTCAGGTGTAGGGGGGCCCTCGGGGCAGGGACAGAACAGGAAGGAGAGAAGGCTTTAACCTGGAGACTCTCTGGGGGGCACGTCTGCTAACTCTCCGGACTCCCTCGCTATTGGCGGGTGTCCCCCTGCAGAAAGCAGACCCTGGCCTGGCCCACTGCCGGGGAGACAGGGGCCCGCGTTCCACCAGGAGGGGGGTTCTGGGGTGAACTCAGGGGCCCACGGGAGGCACAGGTGAGTTCTGCAAAGAGCTGGAGGGTGTTCTCCACAAGGCGGGGGGGGGGGGGGGAGGGGGGGGGGGGGGGGGGGGGGTCCGCGAACAGCCGGGCTGAGGCCTGGTTCTTCCTTGGGCTTCATGAAATCTGCAAGGGTCATGTGACTTCAAGGGTCATGTGGTCTTTTCTCGTGCCCTGCTCCCTCTGTACAGGGAATCGGGGTACAGGGGTGGGGTGCAGTGGGGGGTGGGGTGGGAGGCCTCCAGGAGCTGGACAAGCTGGGCTCACCCACATACCACGGAGCAGGACAGGACGGGAGGGAAGAGAGAGAGAGGCCGCGAGGCTGAAGCGGGAAGTGAGAGAGGGGGCCGCGGGCTCGGGAGGCTCCTGAAGGGACACAGCGGGACACGAGCCCGTCGCGGTGCCTGGTGAGCGTGCTGGCCTCGCCTTGGCCTTCCCGGCCTGACTGTGAGGCTGTGACACACTCGCTCTCAATGACCAACAGGCCAGCGTGTTGCTGCCTAAGGCCCACGTTTCAGACACCCCCCCCCCCCCCCTCCACCCTGGGGCCAGGCAGCAGGCCTCTCGTTGTCTGCAGCTTTGGGCCGGCTGTGCATCTTCCCGCCACCATCTCCGCGTCCCCGGGAGCCGGCAGGGGACCCCCACCCAGGGGCCCTGCTCCGCGGACATTTGTCAGACTTGGCTGAGCAAGGCCAGGACTTTGTCTCCTGCGTGATCGATGGGGCCATTATTGAATCAATAAGCACAAGCTGATTTAAGTCGCACCTTATTAATTATTTAAGTCACTCCTTATTGAAAGGTCGCTACCGGTTAACCACTTAAATGGTCACTACTAGCTTGGTGGCATCTCCTGTGAGGACACAGCCACGGTGAACTGAGTACCTACTATGTGCCGGGCGCTTAACCCTGAGAAGAAGCCCGGGGCAGCGGGATGGGGAGGTTAGGGCGGGAAGTGACCTGCCTGAAGCTTCGGGCTGGGAAACGGTAGAGCTGGGCCTTGAACCCGGGTCGGGTTGCTTGGAAAACGTATGGACTTGGCAATGACCACTGTGTGTACGTTTTTGTGCCTCAATGTTTTTCACATTCTTACTGATATTTTAGAAAGAGAGAAGAGAGAAACTCCGATCAGGTGCCTCCTGCATGCTCCCAGCCGGGGATCAAGCCCGCAACCCAGGACGCGCCCCGACCAGGAATCAGACCAGCAACCTCCAGTGCCTGGGATGACGCCCCCCCCCTCCCGCCCGAGCCACGCCGGCCAGGGCTGCACCTCAATCTTGTACCCGAGGTTCGGCATGGTGATGTCCTGGGATACTGAGCCCACGGCTGCAGCTCAGCCCCCACAGAGCGTCGGAACCCCTCACCCCACCCCTGAACTGGGGCGCCTGCACGCAGCCTGGCTCCGGCCAGGGGCTGGCTCCGGCCAGCGTCGCGGTGGCTCCCTGCTCCAAAAGGCACAGACCTCCGCCCTCCTCCCAACCCTGCACTGCCCGGGACCCGGCGCTCACTCCCCACCTCCACCCGCTGGGCTGCACAGACACGAGAGTCGCAGTGGAGGTGATGGATGGGAACACACTGCTCAGCGGGATGGACAGGTGCTGCAGGGGCAGCCACCCCACAAGGCCGGTCCCTGGGACCCCCCTCCTGCTGGCTCCCTTCCCTCCTGCCCATCACTGCGCAGCCGCCTGCTCGGCCTCCTCAGACGCCTCTCTGTGACTCAGTGTGTGCACCACGGAGCCCCCGATAGGCTCACAGTCCAACTTCATTCCGAGAAAACCGCCCCTGGCCCATCACAGACTGATCTGCTTCCTTCGGCCAGATGGTGAAACATTGGAAAGCCACCCAATTTCCCCTTTTGCTTTGGCAGCCAGGAAGCTCACCACGCCATTTAGCGCTCAGCGGCAATGACTCTCACACCAGCTCTCAGTGCAATAAACCTGCAAGCGATGCTTCTAAACTCCGTCTCCACCTCTCATGTGGACTCTCCTGCTCAGGCACACCTGGCCGCCATGGACAACCTCAACTCTTTCTTGGCAGATAATCAGGTAATTGACAAGGCAAACACGGCGGCAACAACGGTCTGGCATTTCCCAAGCTCGCTGGCCAAAGGCAAGTGACCCAGGGCAGCCTAGGACCCGATCGCAAGCACTCACCAGGCAGACGAACTCTGGAAGGTCACCAGCGGCGGGCTGTGGGGGTCTCCCTGCAGCGTGTGCACGGCCTGGGGGGCTGGTGGCAGGGGGCCGGGGGGAGGCGGGGGCTGCGGGGCAGGGTTCCCCCACCGCTGCGGGTCCTGTTTCATCCACCGTCCGTGGACGCCCCACCGCGTCAGGTAAACCTTGCAAATGTCGTAGTTCATCGCCGAGTAATACAGGAGATCCAGGACCAGCAGCGTCAGCACGAAGAAGCCGTAGATCCAGACGCCCAGGAGGGCGGTGTAGTTGCTGGGGGGAGACGGAGAGAGATGAGAGGGGCGCTCGGCCAGGTGATCGGCGGCGCTGGTGAGAGAACACGGCACGGGGCCATCTCGGGGTCCCAGAGCGGAGGGGCCGTGAGGAGTCCTGGCTCCTCTCCTCATGCCCACCCTCCACCTCCTCTCCCCCACCGGCCCTGTCTGCCTCCTCCCAGATGCTGGTCCTCTGCCCCGGGCCCTGTCCCAGCCAGAACAGCCCCCCACACCCCAAGTCCTTAGCGGGGGGGAGAGGCACTGTGAAGCCTTCCACCAGGGTGTGGAAACCTGGGAGGCCGTCCGATTTCCCCTTTGGAAGGAATCCTCAGTTGCCATTTGGGGCTCCCAGGATGGGGTGGACCCTGCCTTCACCCTCATGCCCCCACATGGGTGCCACTCACAGACCTGTCAGCGGTCTCTGTGGGCGCCCCCTGCTTGCCCACCCCAGGGCCTTGGCTCATGCCGTCCCCGCCACCTGGGATACCAGCTCCTCCCCATCTTACTGGACCCAGGGCAAGTGCAGGAAGTCTGTTGTCTTAGGGCAAACCGACCCAAGTTCCAGAGCTGTGCCCCCTGCCCCTCAGCACCCACACTGGGCCACCTCACGCCCCCACGTGCCCTGGAACTCGCCGGGCACCCACCTGGGCCAGCCCCCTTCCAGCCTGCCCCAGGTCTCCCCGCTTCTCAGAAGCCCAGGAAACAGGGCATCCACTTGGCCGCCCTCCCCACGCTCCACGTCTCACACCCCCCCCAACCCCCCCCACCGCCCCATTCCCCACGCGGCAGCCACGGGTCCTGGCTGTTCCCTGGCACCTGCCCCTCAGACCCGCCCTCTATTCCCTCCTCACTCGGCCCCTGTCACCGGGCAACGCCAGACTGTTCTGCCCGGGGTCTCAGGGTCCCTCCATCATTTTTCTTATTTATTCACCAACATCCCCCCCCAGCCCCAGGGCTGCTCCGCCCTCCAGAGGCAGAATGATGGAGGGTGTCGGTTTGTTTTTCAGAAGGAAAGTGGCCCAGACGCTACTCTATTGTAGAAAGGCAGTTATCTCCTCAAAGCTTTTTGTTTGTTTGGGTTTAAAAAAATATACGTATTTATTGATTTGAGAGAGAGAGGAAGGGAGGGAAGAGAGAGAAACATCAATGAGAGAGAAACAAGGACCGCCTCCCGCAAGCCCCCTCCCGGGGATGGAGCCGGGCGCCTCGGTGCCTGGATGACACTCAACCGATGGAGCCCCGCGGCCAGGGCGGTGGGAGGTTTTCCGCTGCAGGAGCGCGCAGCCCCTCAGTGCAGCCTGGCTCCCCCTCACCGCGGAAGGCCCTGCTGGCTCCCACACGGCCTTTGCACGGGCTGTGCCTTCTGTCCCACAGCCTTCTCCGCGTCCCCACGCCTTCCTCCCCGGCCTGGCTCCTACCTTCTCTTTGAGACCAGACCTGCTGCTCCCCCTACAGGGGTGGGTCGGCCCCTCCCCTGGCCTCCAGCCCAGCCCCCACTGCCTGACTGTGGAGTCTGTCCCCCCGCCCAGGCCAGGCCAGTGTCCCTGTGCCCGGAGGGCCGGTGCCGGGCTTGCCGCTGCGGCTCGGCTACTGTGCCGGGCAGAGCTGGCCAGGGCCGGGCTGTTTAAAGGAACCGATGTACCGGTCACCCAAATGCTGCCCCACCCGCTCCTGCCAAGGCCTCCGTCAGGGGGGTGTGCGCTGGTGGGTGACAGAGAGGAGGCCTCGTGGCCCCGCCCCCCACAGGGAGGGACCCACCCCGGCTCTCGCCAGAGGGGACCCTCCGTGCCCTGGGTCTCCACCGCAGGTCCCTCTGGAGCCCGGGAGCCAGGCTTGGAGCCAGGAGGCCTGGCTCTGGTTCCTTGCTGGCCCGGCTTTGCTGTGTGGCCTGGGAGAATCCCTGCACGTCTCTGGGCCTGGAGATGATGGGACGCCCGTCCTGGGCTCCGTTTCCAGACTCGGATCTTCCCGGCTCGGTTCACGCCTGGCCCAGCCTCGGCCTTGGCAGTGAGATGGCTGCTCCCCTCTGCCTCCTCTGGCCCCTGCACGGGCGGGGCCCCGGCCGGGGATGCTCTGTGGCTCACGTGCCCTCGGCCCGGAATGCCTTCCTTCCCCTCACTGGTGGCCCCGGCTGGAGGGAGCGGCCTCTGCATGTGCGGGGCACAGCGTGGAGCGGGCACTGCCGGTGCTCGGGGCAGGGCCTCTGCTTGAGGACAGAGCAGCCAGGCAGCCTCTATCACAGCCGCCCTCCTGCGCCCCGCCTGCGCCCCCACCTCCATGAGGCCGGCACAGGTCCCAGGGCTGGTTCAGGCCGAAGTGTGAACACCCAGCAGCCTCATTTCACGGGGAAGCTCCATGCACCTGGCACCTGGGTGTGGAATTCCTCCAGGGCACAAGCTATAGCCCTGGCCGCTGAGGCAGGTGTCCTGGGGTGGACATCTGAGGACAGAGGGGGCCTGCCACCGCCCTGGCACCACTGCTCTGCCCAGCACCGTCTCCCAGCTGCCCATGGGCCCCCAGAGTTGCTCTCAGCATCAAGCTTTCCTCAGCGGTTCCCATGGCAGCAGCCCGGGGGCTGAGGGAGGCGAGCAGGGAGGGGAGGCAGGAGCAGCTGTTTGCAGACAGGCCCTGCAGAGAGGGAGTCTGTGACACCGGTGGGGGGCGGGCGGGGAGGGGTCAGGGGGGCGCTGGGCCATGCTGGGCCTGGAGCCTCCAGGACCGAGAAGCAGTGACAGGAATGAAAGCAGCCGCGGGTGGGCATTGCTCTGAAGGCTCACACATCTCAACACTCAGACCGTGAGGGGCGTTACTGCCATCGCCCCCCACCCCACTCCCGTGCCCCTGACCCTCCCAGCTGCAGGCGGAGCACCGAGGCCAGAGCAGTCGCACCAGCCCGGCTCCAGCCCGGCTCTGCCGCTGTGCGCGGTGTGAGCACACGCAGGCTCTCGCCCTCTCTGAGCCTCAGCCCCGGCGAGGTGGTCCTAGCGCACTGATGGCGAACCTAGGACACGCGGGTCAGAGGAGACACGCGAACTCATTTTTTTGGTTGATTTTTCTTTGTTAAATGGCATTTAAATATATAAAATAAATATCAAAAATATAAATCTTTGTTTTACGATGGTTGCAAATACCAAAAAATTTCTATATGTGGCACGGCACCAGAGTTAAGTTAGGGTTTTTCAAAATGCTGGCACGCCGAGCTCAGAAGGTTCGCCGTCACTGGCCTAGCGGGACCTCCTTTACAGGCAACAGCGCTACTCGGACGAACGGCGTTGGTGGGAGGCCCCTCACGCCACCCTAAGTGCTCGCAACTGTCCACTGTCTCCCGTCCCCACACCTGGGGGCGGATTCAGAGTAGGCGACATGGATTCCGGAAGGTTCTGTGCCTGACAGGGCTCGATGGGAGGGAGCCGCTCAGCGGCTGGACTGGAGCTTGGGGCGAGCTGGGTGGGGACGATAGGCCCGCAGGACCGCCCGGTGGGGGAGCCCGAGCACCCGGTCCTCAGGTCCCGGGCCCAGCCGACTGCACTCGCTGGCCACCCCGTGGCTGGAATGCCTCTGGGCCTGGGAAAGGACGGCTTTAGGGACGAGGTGCCATGTGCAGACGGGGGTGTGACCACCTATCCACCCGCCCTCTGAGGGCTCTCTGTCGTCCTAGACCCTCTCCCACGCGCCCACCCCATCTGCCCAGCGCAGGAACTCCCACGCACTGCAAAGACCCCTCGCCATGCCACCTGTGCCAGACACCCCTGTCCCCAGGGCAGCTGACCGCAGACCCCTCCGGCTCATCACCCGTCACACCCGAGCCCAGCACAGACACTCCCACACTTGGGCAGGGCCCTGGGGGGGCCGTTGCCCACCTCCCGCCCGAGCCGGCCTGGGAGGCGCGTGCACACCGGACTGAGCACCAGGCCCCTCTGTGTGCCGGTGGCAGGCGCCTCGCCCGCAGTGGGCTGGACGGGCTGCTTCCCTCCCGCCCTGCCTCCTGCCAGCAGCCAGAGCCGAAACACACCCTCTGCTCCTCTAGGAACACAGCTAACTCCGCATCAGAGGCCCCTTTCCCGCCTCCAGGCCAACTGGCCGACGGGGGGTCCTCGCTGCTAATGGACCCCACGCATCTTCAGAGAGTGCTGACCAGGTCAGGCTGCGCTGGTCCATCCAGGTGGGCAGCCAGCGGGCGCTGCCCTGTCTGCGATGTCAGAACCTCTGGCCTCTTGGCTGAGATCTGGCGCGTTCCCCAGCATCAGGCCAAGCCTGGCTCTTTAGATGCAACGGGGGTGGCAGAGCCAGTGGCCGGAGCCAGGGCCCCATGGCCCTCGGGGCTTGGCCGGAGCTGGGACAGGTGACCACACCAGCCTGGGCCCACCCTTCCTTCTCCCTCAGAGCAGCTGTGAGAATGAGCCACACACGCAGGTGTCTCACCCGGGAGATGACCAACCCAGAGGCGCAAAGGGCCGCACCGTCCAGAGGTGGCCCCTGCCTGGCCCCTCGCACACCCAGGGCCACCTGGACCTCCCAGCCTGCAGGCCCCATCGCGCCCGGCTCACTGGCCACCTCGGCCCTGTGTCCCACCCCACAGCTCATCTCGTCGCCCTCCACGTGCTCCACCTGAACACAAGGCCCTGGTCCGGCGCTGGGCTCGGGCCTTCTCCCCGGGGTCCCCAAGATGAGGCAGCGGGGTGGGGGCTTCCAGGGCCGGATTTGGACTGGTCATCTCTGAGTGAGCCTGCCCCCGCTCAGCAGGGCCCCGTCTTGCCCAAGTCATCATGGCTTCTGCGGTGTCCTAGGCCCTTGTCCCATGCACCGTTCACGGACACAATCCCAGCCTAAAGCCCTCAGGGCTCCCGTGCCCTCAGGCCCCCTTGCCACCCGCTGGAGAAAGTCCAAGCGCCTGGCCCGGCCCGCCCCACTCCCTCCCAGACCCCGCTGCCTGTCCCCATAGTCCCCCTCACCTTCTCCGCCTGGACATGCTCAGCCTCGGGGGCATTCCCGCGTGCATGGGGTCGGGCACACGCCTCCCTCCTGGGGCACGGGGGCCCTGGTGACAGGACGAGCGGGTGAGGAGTGAACTTATCACACCACGGGGCAGTGCACGCCACTGGGCCTCCCTCCTCCGTGGTGAGGGAGGTGGCGGGGGGCTCGGTGGAGCACCAGGAAGGAGGAGTCCCTCCAGAGCGGAGGCCCTCCCCCTGGGGTGATCCTGCACCCACACTTGGCATCACCAGGAAACATGCTTGGTTGTCACACAGGGTGCGGCGGGCCCGGAATGCACAGGCAGCCCCCAGGGCGGGCTCGGCCCAGACGTCCATGCGGCTGCGGTGGGGATCCCCGCCCTTGGCCTCTCCTGCTGAAACCCACCTCCTCCAGACCTCAGCTGGCTCCTGGCCCCCCACTGACCGGCTGCCTCGATCAGGCAAGTTACTCAGCCTCTCCAAGCCTCCTCCTCGCTGCACGCTCCGCAAGGCCGGCCGCACGTCAAGCTTAAGAACCGAGCTCAACTTCTGCCATGGCATTGCCGTTCCCCCGGGGGAAGGCTGCAGGTTTGTGGTCAGCTCTTCATGGGGCAGCCAGGGCCCCCTGTGCCGAGACGAGAAGTGCTCTGCGTGCAGCCCGCGTGAATGCGCGGATTACAGAGACCCGGGGGCTTCGCAGCGGGTCCCAGGCCCGGTCGCCAGAGCCTCAGAGCAGTCTGGCTGCCTGGCCAAGCGCCTGTCCTCTGTCTGGTGGGTGGCCGGCAACTGCAACACTTCGGGGTCCTCACCACTATCCTGGCTGGGCCCTCTTCCCTCAGGGACTCAGCCGTTGGTCAGATTCCCAGCCTGATTCCAGCCCTAGGGACAGGCAGGCCTCGCCGAGTGACGTCATACACGGGATTATTCTAAGGCCTGAGCAGGTGGGAAGGTATTCGTTCACCCTGCATTCGAGGAAGGAGGGTTGGGGGGCTGGCCGCCGTGGGAGGAGGGGAGGATGGACGAACGTTAAATCTCCTGCCTGATCAAAGAGGACAGGCGGCTTCCCCGAGTAGGCATGGCGTGGTGGCAAAGCCTTCAGGCCCCAACATCACAGAGAGTGGGACTCACACCTCCCTCCCACCACTTCCCAATGGAGCCACTAATCTCTTCAAGGGTCCCTCAATGAACACTCCTTCCAAGTGGATGTTCCCTTACCATGAAAACATATATATCCACCCCAAGAATCAGCCTCAGAGTTATTAGGAAAATATGTGAAGCATCCCCATTAAACTGAGAAAGATGATAAAAATGCCTGACAATTTCAAAGACTGTTTTAGAGATACTTGCCAACATGATTGAACAAGAAAAAAAGAAGTGAGGCACAAAAACGGGCAAGCAGGAAACAGTTACCATTGTTTGTAAATGTCATAGTTAAACCTCAGAGAAAGAACTGAAAAAGTATTACAAAGTCAAGGAATTTTAGTAAGGTGGCTGAGTATAAAGCTCACATATAGTAATCCTTAGGTCTTTTCATCTAAACAGCAGTCGCTTAGAAGATGTCGTGGAAGTAAAGACCCCATTTATAATAGCATAAGAAGAAATATGTAGGAATAAATGCAAAAGATATATATATATATATATATATATATATAGAGAGAGAGAGAGAGAGAGAGAGAGAGAGAGAGAGAGAGCCCCAAAATTCACGCAAGATCTGAATTTTGCATGAGCATTAACAACAACAACAACAAAAAATAAAAGCCTAATTTTACTTGGTTTATTGAATCAGATTCTAATATCTGTTGCCCTTTGATTTCAATCCCTTCAATTTGATAAGCATTACCAAGTACCAATGATGGCCCAGGAGCAGGGACAATGAAGACCAATGAAGACCACGGCTTTGTGTATGTGCCAGTAAAGCCGTGGAGGCCATTTACCCGATATGCTACTCTATACATAACCCTATACTGTATACTTTATGAATCAATAAAAAATCTACAATTTTTAATTATAAACCTGTGTTTTCTATCAAAATTACTTCTTGCATGAATTTTGAGACACCCTATATATATTATCTATATGAAGAAAATTCCAAAACACTATGAAAGAAAATTTGAACAAATGGGGAAACATACCATGTTCTTGGATAAGCATATTCAGCATCATGAAAAGTCAATTCTCCTTGAATTAATCTATGAATTCAATACAATCTCAGTAAAAAATACTAACTGAATTTTTTTTGGGGGGGTCAAGGGTACTACACAAGCTAATCCTAGAGTTCCTGTAACAAAAGAGCCATGGGAAGTAAACCAAGAAGACTTTAAAACGTATTAATGGGCCCTGGCTGGGCGGCTTAGTTGGTTGGAGCATCAGCCCGCACACCAAAAAGCTGTGAGTTCAATTCCCGGTCAGGGTACATACCTACATTGCAGGTTCAAGTTCCAGTTGGAGTGTGTGCGGGAGGCAACCAGTCAATGTGTCTCTCTCACATCGATGTTTCTCTCTCTCTCTCTCTGTCCCTCCCTCCCTCCACTCTCTCTGAAAAGCAATGGAAAAAAATATCCTCTGGTGAGAATTAACAAAACAAACAGAAAAAAGATTTGAAGGCAAAAAAGTAAAACATAAAAGAAGTAAAAAAGAAAAATTTTAATAATCTCAGAGAAAGCCTTTCTCAGTACAACATAAAACCCAGAAAACATAAAAAAAAGAAAACAAAATTAGATACAATTTGATTACATAACAATTAAAAATTAGTCATGAGGGGGAAAAAATCACAAACTCAGACACACTGAGAAAATATTTGTAATTCATATTTCCTTCATATATAAAGAGTTCCTGTAAATAAATAAGAAGATGGCCAAAAATTCAATAAGAAAATGAGAAAGGACATAACAGCTAGCTCACGGTAAAAGAAATACAAATGGCTCTCAAACATGTGCAGCGATGCTCAGCTTCACTCACAATAAGAGAAAGACATGCTGCTTCCATCATATTCCCACTGCTGCTCGGCTGGGAACCCCTCCTCTTTCTTTACACTCATCATGGTCCCCTCCATCAGGTCTGGTGTGTTTTAATCACCTTAAGCAAAGGGGCTCAATCTCTGGGTCAAGAGACCAATCAATATTTGTTGAACAAATAAGGAAGGAAGGAAGGAGCTTGGGTCCTGTGGATTCCAGGCCCAAGTACTTTCGGCCTAAAAGCCTTCCACCTACTTGCCTTCATTTAATTTGCAGCAGACCTGAAAGGTAGGCATTATGTGCCCATTTCTCAGATGGAAAGGCTAAAGCTCAGAGGATAGAACAGGCCAGAAAACGGTCTCCTGACCTCTCCCAGGCTCCTTCCAGGCCCGGCCAACCTGGCAATGGCGACCCAACAGCCACCCGAGGGGATGGGGTGTTTGGTCCGCATCCTGCCTTGTCGGGGGGCGGGGGGCCCCAGGCAGGGCGTGCGTGGCACTTACTTGTGCGCGTAGCCCTCGGAGCTGGCTGTGAGGTTCGCCTGCATCACCGCCTGGAACTCCGTCTCGTTGCAGCAGTATTTAAACACCGTGTTGTTATGGTGACAGCAGAGGATGAAGGTTTTGTTGTCCGAGAGCCGGGGGCAGTGGAAGCCAAAGTGGTAGTGGCCTTTGTGGTCCGTGTACGGCTCACAGACCCGGAAATGCGCGGACAAGACTGGAAAACAGAGTCGCCAGGCTCGGTGGGGTCCCCACCAAGGCCTGAGCACCAGGGGCGGGGCCTGGTGGGTCTGTCCTAGGGGGTCCGGTGCAAGCCTCACCTCTGGCAGGAAGGCCCCCCTCCCTCCACGACAGCCCTGCTCACACTGTGTCCCCAGACCAGGGCTCCCGTGAGCGGGGCCACATATGAAGCCTCCTGGACCCTCTCCGGCCGCTCCGCACACAGCAGGCACTTGAGGAGGAAACCTTAACACGTTAAGCGCCCAGCCTGCTTTGTCTTCCGGAAGGAAAGTACAGTGCCAGTCACCGTGACTGACTGGGCGCCTCATGTGTTAACTGTGGCCTCACCGGCTCTATCTCATTTAATCCACCTGCTACTCCGTCAGGTGGGTCTGAGATCCCACTCTACAGATGCAGAAACTGAGGCTCAGAGGCCTACAGTGACTCTCCTGAGCTGGGGGTAGTGGTGCCGTGGAAGCCACCCAGGCCTGCCCCGGCTGAGCCCTCTCCACGCTTCCGCTCTGCTGCAGTGAGGTCTGGGGGACCTGCTCACAGGCCCAGGTGGCCTGAGGGGTGAGGAGCATGCGGGCAAGAACAGTCCCCCTTGTGGAGAAAGGGCACCCCCTTCGCACCTGTGTCTCTACCAAAGCAGTGCCCTCGACCTGAAGGTCCCCAGGAGCCTGGCCCGTGCCCCTGCCCCCTCCCCCCCGCCCCCAGTGCCAGCTGCCCCGGCCTAGGAGGGGGCCCCGTTGCCAGCCACGCCCTGGAGATACACAGGGGAGGAGGCCTGAGCAGACACAATGGGAAAACCTGGGAGCGCTGTCCGGCTTGGTATCTTCATACCAGGGGTGACTGGATCTAACTTGTACCCTGAGAAGGGCCCCTGTTGGCTGAATGCATCTCTCCAAGCACCCAGGCCTGCTCTGGGCGATAGCCCCTCCAGAGCCGTCTCCCTAGGCGGCCGAGCCTGCAGCCCACACAGCTCTGGGGGTCCCGGCCAGGGGTCCCTGCTGGGCGCGCTGGCCCGTGGGCGGCCGGGGCAGCCTTGTGAGGTCTGGGCCCCGCCCCACGTCCAGCACCCTCTTATGCGGAGACGGGCAGGGCCACTGCGGGAGGGGTCCCAGGTCTCAGGAGTCAGGGGGCTCCAGGCCCCCTCTCAGCCTCTGCCCTGGGGTGCAGGGGTCACTGGGTGGGCCAGGAGGATGCACCTTCTTCTTTAACCCGTGGGCTCCCGCTGCACAGGGGGAGACTGAGGCTCAGAGCAGGCCTCAAAGTTTGCATCTGCTAAGGACTCAGAAATGCAGGCTCTGGGGGGGCCCCTTGGCTGCCTCCTGAATCAGAGGCGCTGGGTGGGGGAGGGGGGAGCAGCCCTGCAGGAGATGCTGACGGGCTTGGGTGTGGGAGCCCTGGCCTAGGGGATGCCACGAGCAGGGGGGAGTGAGCAGGGGGCACGGGGGGAACCAAGACAGAGACAGAGAGTGAGATAGAGAGAGAGATGGAGAGACAGCAGAGAGAGAGAGAGAGAGAGACAGAGAGAGAGATGGAGAGACAGCAGAGAGAGAGAGAGAGAGAGAGAGAGATGGAGAGACAGCAGAGAGACAGAGAGAGAGACAGAGAGAGATGGAGAGACAGGAGAGAGATAGAGAGAGAGAGAGATGGAGAGACAGCAGAGAGAGAGAGAGACAGAGAGAGAGATGGAGAGACAGCAGAGAGAGAGAGACAGAGAGAGAGTGAGAGACAGCAGAGAGAGAGAGAGAGAGATGGAGAGACAGCAGAGAGAGAGAGAGAGAGAGAGAGATGGAGAGACAGCAGAGAGAGAGAGACAGAGAGAGAGATGGAGAGACAGGAGAGAGATAGAGAGAGAGAGAGATGGAGAGACAGCAGAGAGAGAGAGAGAGAGAGAGAGATGGAGAGACAGCAGAGAGAGAGAGACAGAGAGAGAGATGGAGAGACAGCAGAGAGAGAGAGAGTCGGTGCCTGGCTCAGGTCGGGGCTCGGTCGGGCCGCTGAGGGGCCAGTCTTGCTGGGGGTCAGGGCGCTTCTGGGGTCAGCACTTTGTCTGGAAGCTGAGGCCCGGGTCCCTCCCACCCTGGAAACAGGAGGGAGAGCCCACCTGCCACCCAGGAGGCCGGGGCACCGGGGGTGGGCCGGGGTCACCTGCCGGGGGTCAGAGGCCTGCCCCTCACTAGCTGTGCTGTCTTGGCCAGCCGGTGCCCTCTCCAGGCCTGTGTCCTCTCTGCCCAATGGGGTGCCTACGACCTCCCCTCGCTTGGACCTGCAGGGGTGAGGAGCGGAGAGAATCCTCGGAAGGCCTCTCCCAGGCCCCTGGCAGCCACCGTGACCCCCGCGCCCGAGAGAGTCTCACCGAGCGCCAGGGCAGGCGTGTGCGGCGAGGCACCAAGCAGCAGCTCCTCACCGGGGGCCGCCCGTGGGCACCCAGTCAGCACCTGGAACCCCGGCTGGGCTGGCCATGGGCCCGGAAAGGACTCCTGCCCCCCCAGGCCTCCCCCTCCCCCGGAGCACGCCGGGCGCTACCTGCCGGAACCAGCAGCGAGAGGACGGTGAGCACGTTCAGGGACCGCTGGCCACAACTGGTCATCGTTTGGCTTGCATGGGGCCGTCCGGAGCTGCCTGCGGGGCGAGAGCGGAGAGGCTGTGTGGGCGCGGGCACAGGCACCGGCGCCCACAGCGGGGGACGTGGCGCGGGCAGGGAGCGCGTCGGCGGGCGCAGGGGCTGGGCCGTGCAGGATGGAAACGCGCCATCCAATTTCCTTTCTGGAATGAATGACCTTCCCCCACCAGTCAACTGTCACCTCCTTTTCTTTTCACAGAAAAGGAGACTTAATCAAAGGCGGGGGCTCAGGTGGCGGAAATAACCGTGGGGCGGGCGAGGCAGCGGGCGGGGCGGGCGCGGGGATGGGGCTGGCGGCTCGGGGATGGAGGACAGCGCCTGCAACTCGGGGTGCGCAGGACCCTGGCCTCCTGCCGTGTCTCGAACCGTGACTTCCAGGAACCCGGCCACAGTGTGCACCAGGCGGGCCCTGCCCATCCCGGCACCAGGGACACAGCAGTGAACGAAACAGACGCATTAGCACTGAACAGAGGCAGTCCCTGCCCGGCCAGCACTGTCCCGACAGCACCGAAACGGATCAGCATTTAAAATGCTCCGAGGGGACACACCCTGAGGACGAGAACAGACCCCTGTCCACGGCGTTCACAGAAGCACAAGCCACAGGAGCCCAAAGGGGCAAACAACCCAGGTGTCCGTGGACGGGTGACTGGAAAAGCCACAGTGTGGTCCACCCGGACCACGGCCTAGGATTCAGCCACAAAAGGAAGGAAATGCTGGCATTGCCACGCGGGGAACCTCGAGGACACTGCGCTGAGCGAAAGAGCCCGTCACCGAGGGACACATTCCGTGCGATTCCACTTACATGAGGTCCCTGGAGGAGTCGAATTCATAGACAGAGAGTCGCTGGTGGCCGCCAGGGGCTGGGGGAGGAGGGGTGGGGTTGGTGTTTAATGAACAGCTTCCGTCGGGGAAGAGGCAAAAGTTCTAGAGACGATGGCGGTGGAGGCTGCACAGCAAAGTGAAGGTACTTGCTGCCGCCGAGCTGTGCACCGAAAGGGGCTGACGTGGAAAATGTTACGTTATGTGTATTTTATCGCAATAAAAAGGCTAGGAGGGGAATAAAGCAAGGTGTGTGTGTGTGTGTGTGTGTGTGTGCGCGTGCGCGCGTGGGGGTGTGCGTGTAGAGTGCTGACGTGGGGGCTGTTAGGGTGGTATGGGAGGCCTCGCTGGGGAGGTGACAGCTGAGCAGACATGAGCGAGGCCGGAACCCGCGGTGTGGCTCTCAGGAGGAGCGCTGCGGGCCAGGTCGCAGCCAGTGCAAAGGCCCTGAGGTGGGAGCGCAGGGAGGCCAGTGCAGCCAGTGGGGGTGGGCAGGGGGAGAGGGGGAGAGGCAGGAGGGGATGCATCTTTATAGCACCTACTCTGTGATGGACTCTGGGCCAAATGGGGCCCTAGTGGCACCCCATTATGGTGTATGAATTGTGTCCCCCCAAATTCATGTGGAAGCCCTAACCCCAGGAACTCAGAATGGGCCCTTATTGGGAATTAGGGCTGAGGCAGATGCAATTAAGATGAGGTCACAGCAGAGAGGATGGGCCCCACCCACCATGACCAGCTCCTCATAGAGATGCGTGCACAGGGAGAACCCAGGTGAAGACGGAGGCGGAGATGGGGTGATGAGCCCACACGCCAGCAAACCCCAAGGGTCACCCCCAAGCTCCCAGAAGCCAGGGCGAGGCCTGGACAGTAGCCCTGAGAGCTCCCATCAGAGCCAGCCCTGGTACTCCGTGACCTCGGGCTCCGGCCTGCAGGCTGTGAGCACCTGCTTCTGTGTTCGAGCCCTGGTCCAGCAGCCCCAGGGAGGGAGCAGGGTGCTCGCCGCTCACCTGGGAGCAGGATGTGATGTGAGGGGTGGACCTCTGCAGAGCCGGCTGCACCCGCCTGGGTGGAGACCCGACGGGCCCCCTGGCAGGCTGTCCCCCATCTGCTCAGCGGGTTCCTGTGGGCGCCCTGCCCCCTCCATCCTGGTTCTGATGTCAGTGCCACCCTGTCCCCGCCTTGGTGAGGCCCTCCAGCCCCCCGGGTGGCCCCAGAGATGGGCCCTCGTGGTGAGGTTTGCTCTGGGAGAGGAGGCTGAGCAGGGCCACACGCAGCCCCCAGGAGCGGCCCCTCTGGCTGCCCAGACTGTCCTGGGGCACCAGCACGGGTCTGGCCCCGGCCTGGGCTGCAGGGGCCGCCACTCAGCTGGCTTGTCCTCACTCTCAAAAGCTGGCAGCCTGGCAGGGAGCACAGGGAGAGGAGCCAGGCGCAGGCAGCTCAGGATCCTGGCAGCAGAACAGAGAGCCACGGGACAGCCCAGAAGCTGGAGACCTCGGGGCAAGGAGCCCAGCCCAGCCTCAAGGCCCAGCGCAGGAGGCGCAACATCCAGCCTGGCCCTGCTCTCGGGCCCTTGGTCTTCCCACCAGCAGCACAGGCAGTGGGCAGTGGGCGGCACAAGGGTACCAGGAGCCCTTCTGAGGTGTGAGCCAGAACAGAAGAGGGGGTGGCAGACCCAAGTCTGAAATACTGAGCCATGATGAGTACTCCCGGTGAGTGCTCCTGGGGGAGGGCCTTCCTGTCTCTCCACAGGCCTCTCCTCTCCGCTCTCCTCTCCTCCACCCGCGCCTGCCCCGCACCCCACACCCTGCACCCAGGAGCCTGCTCTGCCCCGCGGGCTGTAAGCTGCTTAATTGCTCTGAGCCTGGGTGTCCTCCTGGCCTCCCTCAGGGCCCTCGGGGAGGAGGAAGGAGATTAAAGCATTTGAAAGTGCTTAGGAAAGGATTTCCACTGGGGAACCTGGGGATCCGCCCTGGACAATGCACTGTGGGCGGGCAGGGAAGGTGGGTCCTCAAGGATGACGCCCCCCAAATGTTGGCCCCATCTACCGACGGGGGGGCCCAGGTCCCTCTGGCCCCTGTCGGGGGAGGTTGCCCCAGTTTTGGAGCTGAGGCTCCAATCTGAGAGCCGGTGGGAAGAGGAGTCCACCTCTGCCACGTGCCCAGCCCTGTCTCCTGCTGCTCCCCCTCCCACCAAGTCCTGCATATATTGGGGGAGGCTGTCACTCACACCTGGGGTGCCCACCCTGGTTCCTGTGAGTAAATCCTGTACCAACCACTTCAGAAGCTGCTCTAGTGCCCCCTCCTCCGGGAAGACTGCCTGGATTCCATCAGCTGGAAGGAGATCATCTCCATTGAGGCCTATCGTATTCCACCTCTTCTTTCATTAATGTGTTAATTCACTAATTCATTCATTGATTCTCTCGACATCTACTCGCTGACCACTGACTGTTGAAGGGACCTGAGAGGGAGGGAGCCACTGCCCTAAGGGGCACTGTGCAAGGACGCCCACCAGCCACGCCTTGGCCCCCATGTCCTACTCTATCAGCCCCGGAGGGGCCTGCACACCACAGGCGTTCCCCGCCACCACAGGCTGTGTCCCTCCCGTCCAGCACGCGCACACTCCCTGTGGTCTGTTCAGTCTCCTTGGCCACTCCTAAGGCTGCTGGACAAGGTCCGGGTGGGGATTCTCTGGGTTGGGCTCAGAGAGGTGAAGTGACTTGCCCAAGGTCACACAGCCACTCAGCAACTCAGACAGGAGGCCAACCCAGCCTCCCAATGTACCCCCCTCGCAGCACTGCGAGGCCCGCCAGAAAGCACGTGTACACAGACAGATTAGACTTATCATCTAGCTTCTATTTCCTTGCAAATTGGGAAACTGCCCACAATAAAACTCAAATAGCCGGGGGCCATTCTGGTGAGCGGGACTCTCCTGAGCTCTGGCGGCATCCGCAATCACGCGTCGGGCAGGCATCTCGGCGCTGCCCCCGGTCAGCCGGGGACTGTGTTCCCATATTTGAGGATTATTTTTAAACATCGAATCTGGTGAGGCCGAGAGGAGAGGAAGGAGGGCATATGAAGGGAGACAGAGCCGCGGAAGATGAATTAAATCCCAGCAGGAACGCAGATCTGTGTTGGTCAGGCAGGAGAGGCAGGGGAGGGGTGGGGGGGGAGGTAGGTGAGGCGGGGGGGGGGGGGGCAGGGCCACTGTGTGTGCAGGAGGGGCTGCCGTGGACATCCAGGCCTGCCACGGGCCCTGCCCTAAAGCCTGGAAATTCTCGCATCTGGCCCACCCCTTCTCGGCCCGCCATGCCTCCCCCGGGGGCTGGCCACACGCGTCACCTCTTGCCTGGACCAAGTCAAGGGCAGCCCTGCCTAGCGGCTGGGCCCTGGGCTTGGACCACACTGTCGGCCATGTCCTAGCTCCACCTTTTGTAGCCACACCCTGTGTGCCTGGGACGACCTCCTCAGTGTCCTAGGCCCTGGACGGGGACGAGAATAGTCTCTAATTCACTGTGACGACCGAATGGACGGACGCATACAAGCCCTGGGGCCGGGCCGGCGCGCAGTGGGTGCTCCCAACGCCCGTGGTCAGTGCCCGCTGTCTCTGCCCAAGCCTCGCCCATCATCCAAGTCCCAGGGGACCCCAGCGCCAGCTTTCTGACCACCCACCTGCCGCTAGGAGTTCCGGTGGCTCTGAGTTCGCTCACTCCTGAGGCCCCCGCCCCATGTGGCCCTGGCCCCAGCTGCCACCTGTTCGTCTCTCTGCTCCTCCACGTCAGCCGTCCGGGACCGGCCTCTCCTCTGGGCCTTTGCACCTGCCGCGCCACCTGCGTGGGCCCCCCTCCCTCTCCTGCCTGGCTGTCCTTCTCATTAGTACCAGGACGCACACTGTGAGTCAGTCGTTGAACAAGGGCAGGGCCTGGGGCCTCACCAACAGGCCTGCGGGCAGCGGGTGCCAACGGACAGGTGGCGAAACCACCACTGGGAGACAGCAGCCCAGGCCGGAGCGCCTCCTGGGCGGGGGCGCGGGGGTGAGCAGAGCCCCCTGGTTCCTGCCACCAGCTGCACTGTCGCCTCCCCAGGTGCAGGAGGGGGTGAGGGGCAGAGGCAGCACTCAGACCGTGTGCCCCACGCCTGTGCCCCGTCTACACTGACTGGTGAGTGTGTCCATACCCAGCAGC